CAACCAGGTTTTCAATCCCTGTTGAAATTTCAAGATGGCCTCCCCAGGAGAAGAGATGGCAGACGACATCATGGGTGTTGCTGTTTTTGGTACAGGACGGATAGGTGCCATACATTTTAAGCATTTAATGATTATGCCTGATGTTGAAGGTGAGTAATATTTGTTTTAAGGGGCATTTGTGCTGTTATAGCAATTTTTTAATCAATTAATTATTATAAAATTAAGAAAAGAAATTCCATTTCATGGATAAATTTGATAAAAAAAAATTTCAGACCCCCCTTTTTTTTTGCTCTCACTTTTCACTATTCATTGTCAGATATCTTTACTATCAGAAAATTTTGGACTTCCTATTTTAGGTGATTGGCATTATACTTGTTCGGTGAAGTGTTATCAGATATTTAAGATATGACCAAGGGTATCAGTTAGAATAATTATTATATTTCATTTGATCATCACATTGTTTTACATTAATTGACATCCTTTGACATTAAGTCTAATCATTCTCAAAATGTTCAGATCTGCAAATAATGGAATTTACAATATGTCCAAATCTCCAAAGTCTTTTTGAGCATCTGCGTAGCATTAAATTCCAATTTGAAATTGATTTGTTAGAAGCCAAAGTGTTTTTTATATCCATTTCGCTATGCATCATGCTGATACCAAATCATGCACTATTGATAATATTTGGCAACAGGTTGTTTAATGTGTTATTCAGTAGCTCAAATTCTCTGTATGATTTTTCTCAGTAGGCTTTTAGTGAAATTGCCTAAATTGCACGCTATCACATCCGTATAATGTAAGATGTTTGAACAAGAGCCCATGTAGGAGTGGATACAGGATTATTTGAAGGGAGGGGGATCTGAGGATGCAAAGCCCCCCTTCCCTCCCCCCTTTAAGCCTAGGCCGCAACTACGTTTTGGACACACGGTTTTTAGGTTCCTTGCGTCTGGCTAGGACGTAGCTAGATCACAGGGAAGAAATCAAGTAATTGGTGAAAAGTTTCTACATGCTGTTTGCGTCCTCCAAAAGTCGCACGATGGACGTGCTCCTCACGCACAAACTCCCACATTTTCCCCATTTTTATGGCCGTAGACCACACATAGCAGCCCATACGTTCGGTTGGGACCTAGACTTTAGTTGACCCAGTCATATAGAACTTGGATCAAATTTGGATTCAGAGCAGACCTTTTCTGGCCAAAGGGTGGTTCTTTCTTACTATATGACCACCTCCCCCTCCCCTGTTCCCCTTTTTCAAAAAAAAAAAGGGAGGGGTGAAATAAGGTTCTGAGATATTGAAAACACTTTTATATTTCGCACATTGGATTATTTCCGATTAGAAAAGGTATTTGAACAACCAGCAGAATAACATGGGCTCTATCTGGGGGCCACGTTTGAGGTGAAGAGGAATATGTGATATATTAGTTAATGGTCTTGACTGTTCGGACTGTTACGTACTAGTACCAAAAACCAATCAGCTGAGTGTGGAATGGGTGGCAGGTGATAAAGTCACTATATACCTAGCTTTATGTGTTGTAAAAAGTAAAGCTTATACAGGCTGATAGCAGAAAAAAAAAATAGATACTAGATCAGCAAGTGGTACAAGCCTGCAGCATATAGTAATGAAGATTGATGGATAATCATCTCAATTTCAGAAATGTCTGAGTTTTTTTTGTTTTTGTTTTTTTAATAAACCATCATATTTTGCAATTGCATGCAGTGAAGTTCACTGCAGAAATAATTTAGTCACTGTTGTGAATATTCAATAATCTTTCCATTTTATTTAGCTTATAGACACTTGAAATCAAGTGTTCTTATCTTAATTTGCTGGTTTGATGAAAAAAAGTACACAATCAATATATTCTATTTCTAAAACTCTTTGAAAAGGTATATGTTTTCAGACATTCAAAATGAAGCAGTTGCTGCCTCTGTATGAATTCAGAATTCAATAAGAAAGATATAACAAGGTCACGCCAAAAAAAGAGAGAGAGGGAACAGTGTAATATGAAAAGTAAATTGAAGTTGAGCGTGACACTGCTATTGCTTTATTGGGCAATTGGATTGGCACATATTTTCTCACTTCCAGTTTTTAACCATTCATTTGTAATGTTCTTTCAAGCTAGTTTCAAGAAATTGTTGGTGTATGTTAAATCCCAATGGTTCAATGGTGTGTATTTTAATTAAAATTTCCAATGGTTCTGACATCCTTGATTCAGAGTCTTTTCACATTGCACCATTCACTTTTTGTACTGCACTAGTTAATTTGACTGGTCTTAATATATTATTATGATTCAGGAGGTTTTACTACTTTTCACTATCCTGATGTACTTATCAAATTTATACCAGTTGACAGGTTGTGTCAAGCAGGGGTAAGAGGGGGGGGGGGGGTTTAAGTGACTCTTGTATGACACTATATATAGCCAGGCTATCCAATCTATCAAACTGGAAGGCAGGGACATATCCATGATTACGTACCGAATATTTTTGGTATTTTAGGGGGCAAACAACAGCATTTGGCACAGTTTAGAAATATGATTCAGCTAGTCAACATTCTAAGTCCAAGAGGGGTCCATTGGCATGATTATTTTTACAGAAATCAAGGGGAGGAGTCAGGACTCCCCTGACAACCCCTTAATCTGCCACTGGAAGGGTACAGAAAACTGTACATGTACCATCAGATGTGCAAAGAGTCTTAGATAAGAAGGACAGAAAATATGAGAACTTGATATCAAGGTTGCTGTTTCAGCATGCTGCAGTTACTTGTGGAGATGAAATTCAGGTCAAGGTCAAAAATGGATTACATTGTCAAAAACGAGCATATTCTCAGATGTATCTTGCCAGCGTTGTATTTAAAGCTCATTTAGGTGCATATGTGCAAGAACATATTTAACGTGATGAAGAAAATGACCAACAAAAAAAGAAGCGGAGATGATATCTTAGAGGTTAATAATGGATGCTTCAATACCCATGGTAATATTGTGTTGTATTTTTACAGTTTTGTGGTTGGTTGAAGAAGACACACAGCGAGGAGAAAGCTTGGCAAAAAGTCACAGAAGTAAAGCAAGGGTTGTAAGCCCGGAGCACAGTGAACAGGTGTATGCAGATAAAAGGTAATAGCTAGGGGTCCCATCCTTCTTACCTTCATTCTGTCTTTCCACAGTGACTCTTATACCTGAGTCTTTTCACATTGCACATATGTCATATGTCCAATGTTGTGTTCCATTTTCTCTTTTCTTTTCTATCTCCTCATTCCTTTCATCCTTCTTTCCTTCCCAGTCATCCTTCTGAAGGCTTTAATGCGATTTTTAAACCATTCTCCTCTGTATAATATTGCCATATCATTGACAACTTGGATGATTTTAAATCAAAAGTTCAATGTGCCCAGTGTACGATTTCTCAGCAAAAAAACTTAAACGTCATGGATTTTCCTGGGGTAAACAGTATTTTTCTCTATACATGTCACTATCCAGCCTTGATTTTTCTTTCCTGGCTATCTCCATAACTCTGTGATAATCTGGAAATAATAAAAAGGGGCTTTTCAGATTCAGCAAACCCCTTAATTCACTGGCCTGTAGCCAGAAATTTTAAAAGGGGGTTCTTTTTCTGAAAAAGTGGACATTTTACCATAAATCCTTTGTGTAATTCTGGGTAATTTTACCCAGAGGGGTCTTTTCCCAGCAAAAAGGGGGTGGGGTTCTTTCGAATCCTCTGAGCCCCCTCTGGCTAAGGGCCTGCTTCAAGATCAACTTTCCCATTAAGTTTTGGGTTGCATGTAGTTCAAAACTGTGTCAAGGTGGTTAACAGGAGGAAAGGTTCATCGGGAAATGATATTTTTGTGATATTAATTCATTGCATTTATCTATTAAGAAAAGCTCAAAAATCAATTGTCCTCAGTTCGACAAGTAGAGTTTTGCGCATGTTCTTAATGTGTGTTTGAAATCTTATGCTTTGTCCCTTTAACGAAAAGAACAAAAAATTCTCTTAGTGAAAAGCAATCAGAGTGAATATCACAGGTGTGAAATGTTCCTCCTGAGCTTCAGAGTCAAAACACAAATTATTAGCATACCCAAGCCGTTTCCAGAAATATGATAACAGATAGTGTATGTTGGGTGCTTGTAAGTTAGAGGCCATTCAGAGCAAGTTGATCCAAGGACTAAGAGCGCATTCTCAACGAATTAAGCCAGGCTTTACAAAGCCGATGACCTAAAAATGGCGGACGTACATGAAAGAAAAACCGCCTAATCTTTTAATAGTCTCTCCGCCTCTCACACGCCTCCCCACACGTCGTCCCTGCGGGGTCCAGTAATTAAATCTCGGCTCTGAACATTAATATTTCCGTGAATATCTCTGGTGATATTATCTCCGTAGATAGTCGATTCATTGCTGCTCTACGGGCCAAATTATTCCTTTTTCGTCTCTGTTTTCAAAGATAATAGAACAGAAGAGCTTTTTTCCTTCGATCGCCTTCAGCCGCCATGCTTTCTTCACCACGAGTTTAACTGATGAGCATGCGCACTTAATATTTCTCAGGTAGCTTCCGCATGGCGAACGGAGACGCGATTTAATTACTGTACCCCGCAGGGACGACGTGTGGGGAGGCGGAGAGACTATTAAAAGATTAGGCGGTTTTTCTTTCATGTACGTCCGCCATTTTTAGGTCACCGGCTTTGTAAAGCCTGGCTTAATTCGATGAGAATGCGCTCTAACAGATCTGCGGACTAAATATGGCCGACTCACATAAAAGTAGCACTGACTAATTCTGTGATGGCCTCCTGCAGCTCTCGCTGCAGGGTCCTTGCAATTAAACCTCAGAGCTGAGATTTAATCTGTTTAAAGGTGCATGAGGAGGCAGGGAGACCATCAAAGGATTAAGCGGTGCTGCTTTGAAGTTCGGTCGGCCATATTTGGTCAGCAGATCAGTTAGTCAGCAGAATTGCTGCCTATCCTTTAACCTAGAAGATGGAAATAATGGCACTTTCAATTTATCCAACATGCCTTTTAAATTCATGATTTCACTTTCAGAGTGAGTGCTGTTGTGGTGGCAACTCCAGCAGCAACTCACGAAGAAATAATACAGAAGTCTTTAAAAGCAGGTGAGCATTTTACATTAAAAACATTATCTCAAATGTGGGCTTTCAATAATACTAGCTGATACCCATCACATCAGTCATTGAACCATGATAAGTTATTAGTATACATGATTTATATCATATATTTATATGCTGTATTCTGTGTAAAGGAAATAAAAATGGGACTGCCCTGTTTGGCAGCCTAGGACATTACCACTTGGCCAGCAAGTCCTGCTATCTAATGTAGAGTTATTGACAGTATATAATACCTGTCACACATGCTGTGGTTTTACGCAATTTGCCGAAGGCTACAAAATGCCTTCAAAATATACTTTTGAACAGTTATTATCAAAGTTAAACTATGGCCACTAGCTTCCCACTGCCCTAAGGTACATGTATTGCTAACGCCTGTCAGTTGTCAACAGATTGCTGTAGTTTGGGAGAAAAACGTGAAAAGGAGAAATTTTCGTCAGATCTGCTATTGCTATATAGATTTTCTACACACTTCACCCAGAATGATTGCCAGTAATATTGTGGTTGTCTTTTGATACTGGGGAATAGGCCAAACCTCAGAAGAACTCATTAATTTTTTTCCTTTTGAAATTCTATTTGCTAAACTGTCTTTTCAAATGATGTATGGCATTATGATGTGACATTTTTGTACTTCATATGTCATTCATGCCTCAAAGTGCAAGCAACACTGTAACAGTGACTGAAGTCATGCCGTTGAAGTAAATGTGACTTATTTTTTCAAATCAATTACTACAACTTGTGCGTATAATCCTATTATGTGCTTCCGTAATGTGAAAAAAACAACAAACCAGTACGTGTTATCAGTTGAAGACATGAGTGCTCTTTTCATGGGTTGTTGTTCTTGAACATTACTCTTGGTGACTGTTGGGATTTCTGATTGATGGTTTACATGTAAGTGGAGAAACAATTAGTTCCTCCTACATGAAAATCCATTCAAATTGAATTCTCACTAGACATGGGAGTATCTCATATCTTGCTGTTCATAGAATGTCTTATGGTGTATGCATGCACAACAGATGATCCTCAGATCTCTAGCCAGCTATTTCATAAGGGGGGTGGGGGGTCTTTTTCTGAAAAAGTGGACCTTTTACCATGAAACCTTCATGTAACTAGATAAAGTTTTACCTAGCTGGGACCTTTTCACAGAAAAAAAAGGGCAGTTCTTTCAAACCCCCTGAACCCCCTCCCCCAGGCTATGGGCCTGCATGTCTTTGGTTTTGTGTATGGGTGCAGGTGTCATCTAATCTATCCAGCCTCACATTATGGGTGCAGAGACAGTACATGTTACCTAAACTACAGCCCTGAACCTGTTTCTATGCTGTCTTCAGTCAGGCTTTAGTTATCTGATATTATTACCAGCATTAGGCCAGCTGAAAGAATTGACACACTAGTAAATATAACCCAGAGGTGAACTGCGATAAAGAAGAGGATAAAAACTGGTCCAGATACATATTATGGTTTAATCGTCACAGCTTGTTGACAATGAACAAACCAGCAGAAACTAGTTGGGGTCAAGGTAGACTTTTGGGGCCTTTTTGACTTGACCATGGGTACAACCTGTCCCCCCCCCCCCCCCCCCCCAAAAAAAAAAAAAAATCTGGTGTCTCTTTTAGCACTGATGAGACTTTTCCGACTTTTAATTGTCAGAATTCCAACTTTTTCAAGGTCATTTGGGTCATTCTTGTGAAGCGTGTACCCTGGACCCCTGGCCAATTTTCCTCCTTTTTCAGTGAGGACTGGTCTCATCCCTGTTTTAGGCTGTACATGTACTAATTGGTTTGGTAGTTTCATAGATCTTTGAAAGTTATCAATGGCCCCCATGTGAAACCTAAGGCCAAGGACGCCACGGCTTAACCCATATAGGCCTCAGGAACTTTTCATTGATGGGAATTCTACTACAAACATACAAATTCCATTTTGTTTCAGGCAAAGCTGTGTTTTGTGAGAAACCAATAGATGTTAGCTGGAAAGTTGTCCGACGGCTTTATGACGAGGCAGAACAAGCTGGAAAACCTCTCCAGTGTGGCTTTAATAGGTAAAGTCTCTATATTTTAGTTGCATTTACACCAGGGCTTTTACTAAGATTGGGCATACAAGACATCTAAAATTACCACCTGTAATTTCCTGCAAAATTTCAGGGAGTCCAAGTATGCCTAAAGCTGTCATATTTCTAACAAATCCATAAGCCATCCAGCCGTCCTTGAAAATATAGGCTGTCCGGTGATGCTGGCAGCTGTCCAAATGAAGGCTGGACGGTTTGCTGGGAAAACCCTTGATTCACATACTTCAAACTGTAATACACTTTTCTTCCCCCTGCCGTCCCCCACATTCTGATGAACTAGAGAGCATAATGAGGAAGGCCATAATATTAAATTTTTAACAAAGTAATGGATAGTATTCATTGAAGTGGCATAGATAAAACACCAAAATATGTCATTATATGTTTAAAAAAAGAAGACTTTTAGATAAAAAGATGCCCATTTTTACCCATTTTGTTCATTCATTTTTAAGCCTGCTAAAAAGCTTATTGCCATGACTGACCAATGATGTTAAGATTACTTTTAGCAGATGATCAACACAAAAGTATGTTAATTTAATATAGCAACTCAGAATCCAAAGTAATGAAAACCGTATCTTGAGTACATAATACACAATTTTATGTATAATTTAACTACCAGACTGCAGTATTACACACCAGAATTTACCTTATTAACTAACATGAAAAAATATCTGTTTCATACTACTTCGTAGCTAGTATATACAAAGTTTTGGGGTACCTACTTCCACCATTAACTTAAAATTAAATTAACATTCTCATTCTAGGAGGTATGATCCCCAGCTTCGACACCTCCAAAGAAGACTTCAAAGTGGTGAGATAGGCAAGCCTATGATGGCCAAGACATGCTCTAGAGATGCCTGCCCGGACATGGCGTCTGCAGCAGCATATTCTGCAGCGCATGGTATGGTTCCCCTTTGCAGAGTTTTCAACTTTTTGCATGTTTGGGTATTCTGCATATATTTTTTAAACAGATTTCCATTGTTTACAGTTGTTATTCTATTGTTTTAAAAAAAGACCTTGGGCAATTTTACACATATGCATTTTGAATACTGTCATGTTGGCATCTCTGCTATTGCTGATGGACATATGCCATTTCTGCCAAGTGCTGCATGATGATTTAGTTATGATATGGAAATGTAAATACCAATTTAAACAAGACTGAGTAGCATTTAACAGGTGCAGAAATTGTAGAACTTTTAAATTCAACATGGTTGTCATTTTCAAAAAAAAATATTAATGAGACTATTTGTTCTTGTATATATGTGGTGTTTTTAGGAATCTAAATGCAGTCCTTTTCTCTGTAATAAATCTTTTTTTTTTTGCATGGACTGCAATCCTCAACAAAGAATCAAATTCCAAACTTAATACAATTTTGTTTGAATATACTCCTAGTAAGTTGTGATATCTTTACCAGGTGGCTACTTCCTGGACAGTACTGTCCACGACATAGATGTGATGTGTTGGCTGCTGGGAGAACACCCTATCAGCGTCTCGTGTACTGTACACACACACGACCCCGTATTCATGCAACATGGAGACTTTGACACAATTGTTGCTGTGCTCAAGTTTCCCTCTGGGGTGATTGGGGTGATTGACCAGTCCAGGCATGCTGTGTATGGCCATGATCAGAGGGTTGAGGTAAGCGGCCAGGGGGGTCGGGTGTTGAAGATGGGATGGGG